ATTTTATGTTTTGACATAATGTATGGAAAAGTACAATGTCTTTCGATTGAAATGTACATTTTCGAGACGTCTTCTCTACATTCTGAAGTCGACATTTTCGTAGACGCGAACTTTCCATGCTTTTCGCTTGTTCGATGGGAACAAAGAATATTCTAGATTAATGGTCTCTCTTTAACTTTACATGGCTAGTTCATGAAGAATTTCATAGGTAAGATAATTTTCTTTGATTATAATAGCTGTGTTGTACAATTTAAGGTGTTTTCTCAGCGTAAATCAATGAGACATGTGATTGTTTAGGTGCTCGTGATCTAAAACCCGTTGTATACTGAAGTTATATCTCTGGTAAATGGCGTGGCTAAAAAATAAAAKAAAATTGARACGTGATACCGAGGTAAGGAGAATTGACATAATTTCGTATTAGATATATTTGTTTTATGATGGTAGATTATGAGTAGAGTATGAAAAAAATAATCTCSCTTTAATTTATTAATTGCAGTGAATTCGAAATTCACCTGATTATGGATACTTTAACATGTGCTATTTGCCAAAAACCTGTCACAAAAGATTCACTAGATGCTGTTCTTATTGGCGAAAAAGGGAGTGAGGGTATTAACCACGCAAGTAAGAAAGAAATGATATAATTTCAACTAAGCCAGGGCAACTTGTTCACAAAATTTGTCGTCGAGATTTTTGCAAACCCCAGAATATTCAACGTGCCCTAAAAGAAGCAAGAGGAGAGTCTATAAGCCCCCAAAAGCAACGGTCACTGACACGAAGTTCTGATAATTTGTTTTAATTTCAAACGGATTGTTTCTACTGTGGGACTGAAGCGTTTGGAGCAGATGACAAGAAAAGTAGACCAAGAGACGTGTTTAAGGTTACAACGGTTGAAACAAAAGATAAAGTACTCAAAGTGTGCTCAAACAGGAGCGACACCTGGGCGGCTACTGTACGCAGTAGAGTGCTACAAGTTCATGATCTACCCACTGCAGATGCAGTATATCACAAAACCTGCAATTCGAATTTCCGAACAGGAAAACAGATACCGCAGGCATACTCAAATCCCGGCCCCAAAATGAAGGTAAGTATGACGCATTCCTTGCCACTGTCAAATACCTAGAGGAAAACGACGAGGAACTGCTTCTGACTATATCAGACTTACAGACCAAAATGAGTGAATATCTTGAAGAGAGCATGGGTGCGAGACACATCACGCAAATGGTGACGCTGATCTGCTTATTGTGAAGACAGCTGTCAAGGCAGCTAGATCAAGACCGACCATACTTGTTGGAGATGACACAGACCTCCTAATTCTTCAGTCCAGAACCAAAACGTAACGCCAAAAAAAMGCGACGTACGTATCTGGAATATCAAGAAAGTGAAACTGGACCTTGGAAGAGACGTATGTCATAACATCCTCTTTATACATGCTGTGCTTGGATGCGACACCACCTCCAGAGTCCACGGCATCGGCAAAGGCTCAAGTTTAACGAAGTTTGTGAGCTCACAACAGTTTAAAGAAAACGYAATAGTATTTCAAGACCATAGTTCAACTAAAGAAACCATTCAAGAAGCGGGYGAGAATGCTCTCGTCCTATTGTATAATGGGAAGGAAGGGCAGAGCATCGATGATCTGCGATGTCTTCGTTACAAAGAAAAAACAGTTTCTCTGAAAAAAAACAAAAAACAAAATAGAGCCAAAAAACCTCCCACCCACATCCGCATCTGCCAAATATCACAGCTATAGAGTATACTGCCAAGTTCAA